CCCCAAAACCCCAAAACCCCAAAACCCCAAAACCCCAAAACCCCATTTGTTCTTAAAACTTTTGAAATTTTAAATATTTTAAGATGGACATGAATACTAACAACATTGTAGGATCAGTTCTCGGTAAGATCCCTATGCAACGGTCACTCCTGTCAATTTCCAGTCAGGAAGCACCCTAGAAAAATAACCCTAAATTAAATATAGGCGAAAGAAGACTGGAAATGAAAGATTCTACAAACATCATACACCTCAAGGTAAGTCATTATATCCACTGCTCTTATTTGATACTTCCGGTTTGGGACACTTTCTAAAGCTCGAATTTAGGACCAGAAGTATTACCAAGATAAAAACAGGAGGAAATTAGAAGAGTTAGTGACACAAGAGAATAAAGAAAACACTAATCTTGTGACACTTAGTAGAAAAGACTCAAAAAGAGACCAAAGGAATAATAGCTCTGAGCCCAAAAGTACCGGACAAACGAATCAATGTTGAGATAAAGAGAATGTCCCTTTCCATGCTTTTTCTCCCCAACCACAGAGAAAAGGCTTACTTCCTAGAGTTCAGAGGCTTCGGGATAAAGGCAAGAAGACACTGATACTTGATCTTGACGAGACTCTTGTCCATTCCTCTTTTGATAAGTGAAAATGTGACTTAGAACTCCCCATCATAATGGATAACCAGAGATATATAGTCTATGTCAAAATCAGGCCCCGAGCAATAGATTTTCTGCGAAAAATTACTAAATACTACGAAGTTGCCATTTTCACAGCTTCAGTAGCAGACTATGCTGACCCACTAATCGACAAGTTAGATACAAATAATTATGGATTCTATAAATTATTTCGGGAACACTGAACTTACAACGGAAATTACACTAAAGATTTGTCAAAACTTGGCAGAGATCTAAAAGACTGCATTATTGTGGACAATCTACCCAAAAGTTATGTGAACCAGCCAGAGAATGGCATCCCGATTCTCTCATGGTATGATGATAGAAATGATAAAGAGCTCGACGCTCTCTTTCCATTGCTAATCGCTCTCTCTAAGGTAGGAGATGTTCGAAAACGTATTAAAAGATTTGTGAAGAAAGACAGAATCGATTATGAATCCTTATTCTCTGCATTTGAAAAGAAACCAGATTTACACCACTTTGTACGCAAGATATTAGGGATTAAGCGGGCTCCATTCTCACCAAGAAGACATGCTAAATCACCAAAGGATAATTTGGACTCTAAAAGAGACAAGGAAAATAGGAATATTACCTCTAATGATCCTGAGAGCTCATCTAAAAAGTTACTTTCATATCTAAATTTTATAGAAAATAAAGCAGCTAAAAAGAAAATGATCAAGAAAAATAGCTATGAATCTCCCAAGAAAACCAAAAGGAGCAAGAACAAAGTAATAACTCTCGAAGAGAATTATTCTCAAACTAAGACTTACCAGAAAGGAAATCTTGACTCAATAAAACGTGAAGGTAGACAGAGAGATCATGATTCAAGGCAGACTCCTTCTAAGACAAATTCTTCCTGTAATGACTCCACTCTGAAGAAGGCTAAAAGACCTGAACAGATTGTCCTCTCAAGGAAGGACTCAAATCCTTCCCAAACCTGCCACAAGCCCACCAGTATCAAAGTGGAGCAATAAAAGTGATCAGTCTAGAGACTCCTCAGAATTCTTCATTTAATTCTGTTCCAACCTCTGATAGTCAAGCTGAGAATGCTCAAGCCAAACCAGATGAAATTCCAGCGATGGAGAATAACTATCTGACCAATAAGAGTAGCCATGAGAAAGCATCTAAAAAGGTAAGCCATCTGTTCATAAATATCAGGCATTGCACAAAGAGAGCCTATTCAAACATATGAGGAACTGATCATCTGAGACGAAGAGATCATTCAAGAAAGGCCTAAACAACAAACTAGTACAAAAGAAGTCACCTAATATTGATAAAACCGATAAGAATGAAAACCAAATAGAGGCAGCCTCTACTGATAAATGCTCAAAAAGGGGCTCCAATCAGTTTAATTATTCCAACAACAGCCTAAGCAAAATGGAGAATAAATACAGAAAAGAGAGGATCAAGACAGAGTCACTAAATTTTGAAGCGACAAAAGAGAATGTAGCTAATGTGTGAACTCCTGTGTCTCAGATAGATTTCTATGCCACATCTGATCCTGCAATGAAACATTACACTTCGCTCACCTCTGAAGTAAAAGTTAAAAGTCATTACTTGACTTCTTCTCAAGAAATGCATCACTCTCTATCTTCGTTGCGCCAAAAAGGGTCGAATTTTAAATCTACGAATCTGAAGAATTCAACTCTTTTAACTAAGAAATCACTTTCAAAAGGACTGAAATCACACTGTGTAAGCCCAAGGAAGTCTTTTAATCCCAAGAGTAACTTCTTCTATGATCCTAAGCCAAAGAGTATCACTTCTCCTGTTTCTCGAGCTAGCTCCAAAGATCAACCGAAGCTTCCAGTTAGACTCAAGACTCGCCGTAAGACAAATCCTTCAAATGACCGTCTCTTTGGCTTGGGTCTCTCTTCAAAGAAGAAGATGCCAAAATTTGCTCAGAAGACATGCACACCTAAGTCTCATTACTATGCACCTCGACTATTTACTCAAAATTCTACCGGCAAGAAAGATGCTCAGATTGCAAAGAAGGATAGATTAATTACCGTACCGAAGAAGTTTAACGGGAAGACTTTCACCAAGAAGAAGATCAAGAAGAAAGCAGAAGTCAAACCCTGACCAACAGTAAAGCCCGAAGAGAATTAAACATATAAATTTGTTCAGTAATTTAGAATAGATAGGGGTTTTGGGGTTTTGGGGTTTTGGGGTTTTGGGGTTTTGGGG